ATAACAGAGGAGCAGTAGGCTGGGGACCGGTCTTGGCATCATGCCAATGAAGCCTCTGTTGTCCTCTGGTTTCTCCCAAAAAAAACCCGTCTCCTCTGTAGCTCTTGCTCGGTCCTATAATGCCACGTTAAACTCTGTGATGAGGAAGTCGATGTGGTCCTTCTCTTTGGTCTTGAAGGCCTCTGCGATGAGGCGAGCGGCCTCGCGATGCTCGCGTCCCCTCAGAGAGATCCCGTTCACCTCCAGAATCACCTGCCCCACCTTCAGCTGACCACAGTTATGGGCTGAGCCACCTCTCTAAGAAACAGAAAGAGAAAGTGAGAGAGAGGGACACTGAGGACTACATTTAGGTAAGAAGTACCCAAACAATTTAGTAAATCAGGTACAGTGTTGAGAAAGAAAACAGAAAACATCAACAATGTTTTAAAATGATGACTCAAATCACATGTATTCATATTTTGGGGTTTTCAAACACTATGTCAAATACTATGATACGGTCAGTGCTGGGAGGGTGAAGGCTAGCACAAGCTCCCTCTGAGTCATGAGAAGCCACCTCATCTTTTCAAACTGCCTCTAACGCAATGCCATTGGACAGCTCAACATGCTTGGAGGAGAACACTAACTGCCAATTCTGTTACATCAACTAAGAGATGCCTGCATTGTGCTGAGTGAATGGGGGACAGGGAGCACCATCTACCCACTCAGAGAGCAAGGGCAGTTGTGTTCTCTTTAAATCCTGGCCATGGATGGCTGTGACAATTCATGATCTTCCAATGATAGGACTGATGCTTAGACAGGCAAATTTATTTTTGATCACAAAATAGAATTGCAAATATCATCATGGTTAAATTTAAATTTAAAAATGGACTGTTTTGATTTGATATGAGGGGGATATAAACTTCTCTAACCATTTGCCTTTGGAGGCTTGTAACTTGTAATTGTGAGTTGTAACTGTGAGTTGTAAACAGCTATAATAAAGTCACCAAGGAGGCATATAAAAGCTTATATAGTTGTAAATTCTGAGACTTGCACAACACAGAAATTGAAAAAATATATGATGAAATTCAAATTTTCTACTTAAACCTGTTTAACTCAAAAATAATTTAGGAGTATACTGATACAATAACGAAAATTGGTAAAGTTGTATAACGCTAAAGAGACACTTGGTGGAGCATCTTACAACTAATTAGGTTAATTGGCAACAGGTCAGTAACATGACTGGATATAACAAAAGTATCCCGACCAGAGTTGGGAAAAAAAATATTTAAAAACACACAAACACAGAAAGCACCCCATAAAAACTCTATCTAAAATATACTCACAGAAAAAACACAATAAGTAGCCATCCTTGAGCGAAACATGTAAGTTTAGGAAAATTACTGCCTAGTATTAATTAAGAAATGTAGGGCCTTGATGAGATGGAGGCACTGCATTATATCTCTAATCCACATTTTATGAGTCTGTGGTTTTGCTCGTTTCCAATTTAGCAATTTTAATCTTCTAATCAGCAAATCTTAATATATCACATTTTCATTGCCTAAGTTATACTGAATGCTTCCCAGGTGAACGATGCAGGTACTGGTCATCAGCTTGGAAATATTCAGCTCTAAAAGGCACGTGGTGGAAGAAACTATTCCAGCAGAAGTGGTACAGTATTAAAATGGAAATCTCCACAGTGGTCTTTTCTGCTTGAATACTATGCCTTGAGTTCTTAAGAGATAAATAAAAATGGCACAGAAATGGGGAAAAAACAAAAGCTATCTGCTCCACAGCTGCTGCTGTTGTTTGGTTTCCATTACAATACTGATAAACCGCCCATAGCCAGGGAATTAAAACCTACTCATGCCTGGCCATTTCTCGTCTCCCCTAGCTTCTCTCTCTTTCTCCCTCTCTCTTCATTAAAACAGCTATTTCCATCCTTCCGTCTCTTTCTTTGAGTCTTTTATTCAGAGCGTGTTCATTTGTAGCCAAGCCAACATTAATCAGCGCTTCTTTTATTGCGCATTAGCCTCTAAGAGCTGCAGCTTTCTCTCTTGCTCATAATACACGCAGTCACCTCGCAGCGAGAGGTCCTGCTGCCGACCTCCAGACACACTCTCTCAGCGGTTCTGCTTTTAGCCCCTTCGCACGCGCCACATCTCACCCAGGAAAGTCATTTAGACCAAAGCGCCTAGAAGATGTGTTAGAAATTAAGTCCAATCCGCACAGAGCCTCCACGGCATTATGATATAAAAGACACTAGCGTTGATTTCTAAACCATCCCTTATGCTATTGAGTAAGTCCTAAAGGAATTAAGGCACGTTATTCATGTGTGGATGAGAGCCAAGACCATTTGTGTTGATGCAAAGCTGAACAACAAACCAACATCAACTGAGGGAGGCTGTTTTACAGCTACACTGAAAAAAAAAAACAAAAACAGGGAGAGACAAGAAGTGAAAGGTCACTGTAACCAAAAACAGCTCTCAATCAGCTGGCTCTTACACTATAGCAACCCTCCACTGGAGCTCCATGTCATTTATGTCTAGCTGTCTAACCGTGCCCCATGTGGTTATTTTGTCTCTATTTCATTCAGTGAAGCTGCCCCTGCTCTCATTAGGCCTTTATGTGACGGACTGTAGGGAACTCATAATTGGCCTTCTATTTTCTCCCTGGCATTGTCCCACACTCTTTAGGAGTTTGAGACATGACAGTTTTTTTTTATGTAAATGGTATAATCAACCGCAAAAACCCACCAGATGCCCAATCCGGAAAACCAGAGAGTCATTGTTCCATTTCACATTCAATTGCAAAGGATGTGGCAATGTAACCACTGTAATGTCTAAGTGAAAGAGAAGTGTAAGGCCTGTTTCACACATACTACTGTGTGAGTGATTGATTCTGCAGCTTGACACGCAGCGCTTCTGCTGCGGAACGGTATGGCGGGTATGCCAGAAACTGTCACTGCTTATAAGCAAGCTTGACAGATTGTACAAACTTAAGATTAAACATAAAGCTTAATAAAAAGATAAAAGAGCATGTTGCATTAGTTTACCTCTGCAGTTTGTGACTGAGCAAGCATTTTAAGTTTGTACACTGTTAGAAATAAAGGGTCTGTGCAGGTACATTTTTCGTTCATCAAGGTACAAACAATGTAAATGTGCCCTCATAGGTAGAACAGTGGTTTTAAGATCCAATTGTGCACCTTAAATAGGTTTTTCCAGGTGAAAAGTACGTATTTGTACCTTTTCATAACCTGATCAGAACAACAGAACAATAAAATAAAAAGCCTGGAGTCGAGACAGGGGTGTGTGGAGTCTATAAAACGTAGAAAATATAATTTCAATGGATTATGGTACAATTATGTTTCCTGACTAAAGGTACTGAGATGTACCCTTGAGGGTAGCAACCCAGTGACAAAGGGGTCCTGCCCCAGTGACAGTTTCGCACCTTTATTTCTGAGAGTGTACTGGGCAAAAGTCAGAGACCACAATTCATTTATTTCAGTTCTAGACAAATCAGCCATTTAGAACAAGTTATTCATTTTAACATCAGGAAAAATAGCACAAAACAGAAAATCACACAGGATCCTCAACAACTAAACCTAATATCACAAGTTTCAGTATTTAATATATCAATGTTAAGAAATCTGCAAGGATTATTTGCATGCTTCTTATAAACACCTGCAAAGTTCAGTCTTAGCTGTTGGTTGTACTTTCCACTTCTCGTGATCCAAGAAATCCCAATTACAAATGCAGACCATAAAACACATCAGAAGTCCAGTTTGGTGTTCTAGAGCAAATGCTCTTTTTGTGTATTTTCTTTTCTCAGTAACGGCTTCTTGACAGTTACACCTCCTTTCACACTCATAGTGTTGAGTTGTCTTCCCACAGTGGAAGGATGGACAGAAACACCTGTGGATTTTTCCAGATCTGAAGCAAGAGTGGAGCTTAATTTTCTCCTCCCTCTCAAAGATGAAAGCTTTAAGTATTGTTTATCTGATGGTGGTTTACCAGGTCTTGCACGGTTGTTAGGGGTCCCATTGTCTTATGTTTTAATAATTTTTTGGGATCCGGTTTTGGCAGTATCTCTTTTAATTATTTTATATGCACAGAGAAAGAAATTCTGAGGCAGCTAAGGTGAGTTTGGGTAGTTTCTTTTCTGAATGTTGGTGTCTTTTTGAAGGGGAGTATAATGTCACTGACATCTTTGGGAGCAGCTTTTGTTGGGAGGACACTGTTGAACCTTGTTGGGTTCAAAATGGGAAGGATGGAAGAGTTAAAGTGGCAGTCGGGTGCAGACCTGATTTGATATTATGCTTAACATTTGGGGCTTTTGTGTAATTTTCTGTTACATATGTTTCTCACTTTTTTCTGACAGCAGCCACATTTATATGCAGCCTAATAATCCATTAATAATCCGACCAATAGCTTAATCAGAATAGAATACGTTCATGTAAACACCTCAATTGGAATAGGCTAGTCCGACTAAGGCCATTCGGAATACAATTTCTATGAGGTGGGTAATCCTGTAAAAAATCCGTTTAACAGAAGAATAATAACCATGTAAACAACTGTATCTGATTACATTCCCAATCGGAAAGTTTAAGTATGTTCTGCACGTTTCACGTCATAGCGGAAGTTTATAACGTTCAACATGGCGGGAGCAGAAACTGGTCTGCAGAAGAGACGACAAAGTTTATGCTGTGAACTTTAAAAGACGGCAGTGGGAAGGGTGTCCAGCTCATGTGTCTCAGAGCATGACGTCTTCCTCTTGCACGTCTTTAAGAAGTACATTTGAAGTCTGTTTTACTGAGTCTGCCATCATTTTAAAGTAATTAAAAACACAAGTGCACCAGCTGCAAACACACTGCTGCTCGTTTCACTTTGACTGGACTCACGTGATGCTCATTGTCATGGCAACATCTACACTAAGTAGTGCTCTATGCATATGCACAATTTTGGATCGGATTGCTTGTAGTGTGAATGTAAACAGAAGATTGGAGATTTTCCATCGGATTGTTGAGTAGAGTGAGCATATAAACACCTCAGTCTTAATCTATAATCGGAATGTATTTAATCAAACTGGCAAAAGTCTTTGCAAGTAAACGCAGCCACTAAAAAATGAACAACTTGTACTTATTGGCTGTTTTGTCTGGAAATTAAATAAACAAAAGGGCGGTCTGTGATTTTTGCACAGAACTATACAAACTATTTAACAGGTAGAATGTGCATTTGGTGTTTTTATTGGTTATTTTGTTATCATTGCTTTTTATAGTTTATATGACTGTCTGGAATACATTGCTCGTGCAACATGTGTGAACACCCTAACTTGTTGACATGGCAAAATGAAAAGCAAGATCTTCGTCACTAAGGCCACGGCAGAATGTGTGAACGTGTGTTAAACTCACCTGGATGGTGACGATGCGTGGCAAGGGTTGCCGTGTATTGGCCCCTCCCTCTATGGCGATACCCAGTGTGCTGGAACTCTTCGGCACCCTCACCAGAGTGGACGTGGGCTCCAGAAGACCGGGCTGCCGTAGCCATGAACAAATATACACCGCCGGAAGGAGAGAGCAGAGAACAGCAAGTAAGAGCGATGAATAGCAGAGAGAAATGGGAGCGAAAGAGCGATACAAAGACGCACACGTTTGGCTTTGATAACAGACTTGGCTTTCTGTGGGGATCTGACAGCAGAACAAAGCGTCCCATCTCTGATCATTCTAAACAGCCCTGCTTGAACCAGGAGAACAATTTCACAATCGTCTACCACTGCCAAGCACAATTCATCTAAAGAGCAATAGTGTCTCTACATGCACACACATAGCTCAGCTCGCTCTGGGAGGAAAGAGACTATTCTACAATGAGAGGTGAAATGAGAATGGAAACTCGTGAATGAGAAACAAATATAAAGCGGGATGATTCAACTTACAGTGAAAACAAAAAGGAAATAACAAAATATATGTGCTAAAAGATTATAGAACAAATCATAATTAAGTCAAGCACTGTTTCACTCGATCCACTGTTTCACTCGATCCACTGTTTCACTCGATCCACTGATTCACTCAATCCACTGTTTCACTCGATTCACCTCCTGTGCTCTGAATCCAAACACTCTACCTTACCAAGAACGAAGACGCATAAACAAGCACATACACTGCTCACACAATTCCTCAGTTCACACATACATCTCTCAGACCTTTTCTCCAAGGCTGGCTTTACATGGCAAAACATCCTTGCAGCTAGTTGCAAGTTGTGTAAAAATACATAGTTAAGGTGGCAAACTTTAGCATTTTATTTCTTAGCAAACCTTTGAAAATGACCATATTAGCTGAATAAACTGTATTTCTTGAGCTCAGCTTTTAGTTAGTTCTTCACTTTGTAGTGATAACTTTTCTAGTTGGCTACTGAGCTGCTTAACTTTAACTAACATTAACAATGGGTATCACTAGCTGGTTCTAACTTGAGAAAAAATGTATTTTACATTAGTTTGTCAGTCATCAGTATTACCTATACTTTCAACTTACCCTCTACCACTGTTATTTTTTGAATTGTTTGAAAAAACTAAATACTATTTTTGCTTTAGTGTAACCTTAATCACAGCCAAGCTACTTAGCCCTCTATATAGAAGAACTTGGGTACATTGGTAAACCATGTATTTTGATTGATTTGATCCCACACTCATACTGATTGGACTGCAGATAAAACCATGGATGCAATGGATGCAATTTTCCATGAGGAAACTTTTGCTTTTTAAAAATACAAAAAAGACGCGATACATGTTTTCAAATAATTTCAATACAGCAACAATAATTAGCACTAACTGTTATGTACAGAACTTCATTTCACCAAAAATGTCAAACAGAACCTCAATTTTAAGCACACAAGGTGTCCAAAATTATATTGTTTAACGTGATCACATGGTACCTTATCTAGATTTTGATTAACCGTTTCATGAAACGTTTTAAGTTGCAGGAGACTTTACGTTATACAACACAATTGAGATTTAGTTTCCTAAAGGTTTCAAGCAACTAAGGCTGCGTGAAAGACTCACAGTGTAAAGCCAGCCTAATTTGACTTTTGACTCTTTCGGTATTTTTCACATCTTTTCACTCTCTCTCTCTCTTTCGGTCTCACCGGTTTCACAGCGCTCCCCTCCCCTCCCCCTGCACTCTCTCTCGGAGGTCGTGTTCGGGCAGGACGAGGGCTGCTCTCCTTGCTGAGGCGTCCAGACTCTGCAATGTCCACTCCGCTGTCCTCGCTCAGCGTCTGTCCGCTGTCAGACAACTGGGACAGAGCGGCTCCTGCAGCACACACACACATAAGCTGTCACATACATACTAATGAGATGTGTCCTTGTGTGCTGTGAGAAATCTGTATTCTCATGTTACATTCACTGATAATATTCAGCTAGTGAAATGCATGATCCAGGCAATACAGAGCAACGTAATAAAACAGACAAACTGCACTGCAATGAAGAGTTAGAGCTACTAATGTGTTAATGCAGAACTAAACTGGAGCTAGAGAGAGATCAGTGTACCACCCATGACCGTTCATGTTAAAGCTACACTATGTACGATTTGGGGATCTGGAGACCTCTCTGGTGGAAAAGTGTAATTGCACGCAACATACGAATGAACATACTGTAATGTCATTTGTGCTTCAGCCCTCTTCACCCGAGCAGATAAATCTATTGATTGTGAGTGCATTGAAAGAGTATTCAAAGAGAACGCAGGACTTGGTAAAAGACGTGTCTACTGTTGTCATCATATCTTCATCAGAATAAAGTTGATTTTGGATTTGAGGCCTAAACATTGAGCTAGACCTGCTTTTTGAGTCTGTGAATGTAACGTTAATACATAAACACGTATGACGTCTCCTGAAATCCGCTCGACGCCTCTGACTTTTAAATGATTTTTTCAGGCTTTACAGGGTGACGTGCAGCAGCACATGCACATCATATTTTAGCGTGTTTTTCACTCCTGGCTCAGTAATGCTACTTTTTTCAATTTTAACCAAAAAATCTTACATAGTGCAGCTTTAACTAGTAGTTATCAGGAGCAAGAAATAAAGCATGATGTCATTTGATATAATTTAGTTCTCACTTGTAGCTCATTGAAACATGATGAGAAATTATGTCACAAGTGTGTTTTGTAAACTTTCATTTAATACCATATTTGTGTTTTTAAGCAGGAAAAGATATGCATTATTATTTTTGAATTTTACGAAAACCTAATGTTGTGCACACTTTTAAAAAAGATGGTTCTTTGAGGCTTTTTTTTATAAAGAACCATGAACACTCAAAGAACCCTTTACACGATTAAAGGCTTCATGCATTGTTCTTCAAAATGCGCTGTAGATGGTTCTATATAGAACCTTTTTGAAAAGGGTTCTATATTGCACCCATAACCTTTTGGGTGCTATATAGAACCCTTTTTAAAAAGGTTCTATATAGAACCATCTACAGCACATTCTCCATCAATCTGAAGAACACTTTCATGATGCAAAGAACTCTTTAATCAAAAAGGGTAAGTGTTGAGTGTTTGTGGTTCTATATAGAACCATTTTCTTTACTAAACAACCCTTGAAGAACCATCTTTTTCAAGAGTGTAGTCTTGTTTTGCAGAAACAAATACCATCTATTTTAATGTTTTGTCATTTCTTGATATTGAAATAAATGGGAAAAAGGCATTAGTGCAGACTCAAACCTTTTGTTACATAGTGTAAATCGAATGTACACTGAATTAATAATATAATTAATTATGGGATTACAGGTTTACAATCAAATGTATTGGAAAACAGCAGTAATAACTCCTGATGGTTTGAGGTAAAGCACCATTAAATCTGTAAAGCTTTCCTCATGAACTACCCCGGGGCTTATGTTCCTCACCTCTGGCCTGGGGCAGCGGGCGGACTTCGTTCACGTCAGGCTCTGCATTGGGCCTGTGCACCTCCACCATGACAAAGTGCTGGTTGGAGGCTGGAGAGGAGGGGGTGGGTTTTTCAGGGCTAGAGAGTGGAGGGGGGCCAGAGGGAGCTGGGACTGCTGGGGCTGGAGGGGGATTTGGGGGCACAGCTGCAGATTTGGTCCTGTTGGGGGACTGAACTCGGGGGAAAGGGCCAATAGAGTGCTGACTGACCATAGAAAGCTGGGCCACAGGGACCTCCTTCTTTGGGGCATCGGGGGGCGAGGTGGGGTGTTTGGAGTGTTTGGTGTCTTTGGTGGGTGTGTGAGAGGGAGCGGTAAAGTACAGGCCGGACTGGGAGGACCCGGAAGAGGGGCGTTTGCTGGGACCGGACTTGCGGCTGGGGCGGCGCTGAACGGCAGGGGGAGGAGGGGGTTTGAAAGAGGGAGGGGAGTCTGATGTTGACCCCATATCATCCTAGGATGAAAGCACAGGCATCAGATGTTAAATTAAACAGGTTGCACTTCAGGAGACAGTGAAGTGAGGCATTCAGAATGGTTTAGGAAGATGTTTTGCACAAGAGTTGCCAGTTTATTAGAAACACTTTCCTTGTTGGCACACTGAATGTCCATTTGATTAGGTACATCTAACAAAGAGATGCACGTTTGTAGGTTTACAGTTACGGACTGTGGCCCATGTGTTGCTGCACAATTTGAGAGCCACCCTCTACCCATGCATCAATAGAAAGGGATCACCACAGGACAACCATTGACCAGATATTATTTGAGTGGTTGACAATGGTAGTGACATGTAAGTATGTTTTGTCCTGGTATGGGTGTACTAGCCATAGAAACACAGCAGGGTTTTTTTTAGACAGTGAATACTGACTGGCCACTGTACCAGACACACCTTAGACATGTGACTTTGTACATTATGTAGACTGTTATAATTACAGCTCTTGTGTAGATCTTTTTCCAGTGAGGAACCCTCAGAGCCTTCAATGTTTTCACAAAAGACCTAATAATTTCTGTAATAATAAAAAAAAACAACTGTAATATTTTTTTCTTTTTTATTTAATATAATCATCATGCTTGTTAAATTTAACATTTGCAAGTATTGTTGAAAAACTAACACTTACTGGGAAACAAAAGAATTAAATACTTGAAAATTATCCAATCAGCATTTTTTCCTGTGGTATCTAGGTAGATACAGCCAAGCAAGCTATCTCTTAGTTTGAAATGGAAAGAAATTATGGCAGCTGTATGTCAGGGCTCTTTACTGAAAAAGGCCCTTGTAAAAATGATAATACAAGGTAAAATATATGTCAATATGTCTGTTACAAGTTTCAAATAGATTACAGAATGAAACCCATAGAGTCGCTAGCAGAAATTAGCTTTAGTGTAGAGTTTTTTTTTGCTGTTGTTCTTGTTTTTGACAGCTTTTTGACATTTATGGACTGAACCACAGGCCTAGCTCTAATAGTCATGGTTCACCACTGTATTTCTCTATGCATAATTTGCATCGGCCACCCTCTTACCCTTCATTGGTGATCAGTTTCTGACCACAGGGCCACTGTTGGTTGTATACATCTGGTTATTGGACTATTCTCAACCCTGCAGTGACAGTGAGACTTTTAAAAACTCCAACAATGCCGGTCCGTTACAACACACACTAACATACCATGTTGGGGTCATTGCTGCATTAAGAATGGTCCATTACGCAATACCTAGTTAGCAGTGGTCCTGTGGTGGTCCCTTTTCATTGATGCATGAGTTAGAGGATGGCTAGTCAAAACTGTGCCTCAACAGAAGGGCTACAGTCAGTAACTGTAAACCTAGTGCATCTAAATGGTAGATGTATCTGATAAAATGGCCAACAGGTGTAAGTACAAGGTAGGTGTAATTAATAAGCATCAGGTAAATTCTTTTAAAAGTGTTTTACAGCGCATATACACACATACATACATACTGACGTATAGACACAAATACACATACACACACTGAAAGTGTTGCACACTAACCACAAGTTCACATTCTAAAACACTCCACACGCAAATTGTGTCACAGCATAGAATTATTTAGACGTCCTTGCGCTAAGTAATCGATTTGCTCATTCAACCAGAGGGCAAGTAGAAGAAGAAGTGGAACAAAACAAACTAAAACAAACAAAAGAAAAAAAGGAAAGCAAATCAGAAACATGAGCAGAAATTGGATGGATGGTGCAGCTGGAGTGGCTGGAGAGAGAAAACAATCAGAGGCTGTAAGGGTGAGCAGGAGCTGTCTGAGTGGTTTTTCCTGCCTCTCAGAAATCGCGGGGAAACTCCGCTCGTGCGCACGAACCCCGGTGTGATGGTGTCTGTTGCCGTGGAAACGTCTGATAGAGCCATGACAGGTTGATGGGTTTTCATCAGCGGTCTAACACAGAACTTAGCTACTTCGACAAAAGAGCACCTGTCTTTCCTACTCAGCCCTCACCCAACAGGAAGCCAACAGAGAACCACACATACCATGTCATTAACTTACCAAAACCTCTCTCTATCTGCTTCGTCCTGCCTCTCCATGGGCCTCAACCTCAAACTTACTAAAGCCTTCTTGTTGCCTCAGTTAATTTCCCCTGCAGCACACAAGAACCACTGGCACTGTACAGTTACACAAAGAAGCTTCCAGATTCCGTTCCATGCCTCAAACTCTGCACCACATTGCTTAGATGTATAATTACTGAGGACTCTAGCCATCGCGGTTTCTCCAGTTGAGCCCACTCTCCTCCTGTGTGTGTTTCTGTGCTGTGGCTGACCACAAGGCTCACCAGAGAGACGTCCGGCAAGGCGTTCCCACCGTCCTGAACATCCTCCCCATTACTCTCCACCACACTGTCATTCTGAGAGAGAGAAGGAGAGAGAAAGAGAGAGAGAGAGTGGGGGGAGATGGGAGAAAAAAGGGGAAAGCATAAGCATAAGTATAAGCATAAACATGCAAAAGTCCAAAAGAGCCGAACACAACTATGTGTTTATTTATGAAACAAATGTTCACTCCAAACTTAGCTGAGTTGGCATCTCTCAGAGCGAGGATCAAAAATAACATACATATATATATATATATCTTGCTGTTTTTGGAACAAAATGATAACTTTACAGGGGATGGAAAAAACATTCTTTACTTTCAGTGAAATTTCTTTTGATCCGTTCATCATGAAATTTATATATAATGTAAAGGGCAACAGGTATTTTCAAATTATGTCAAAAACTGAAAAACGGCAAAAATGGAGATACAAGGTATGTTTTGTCCCGATAGCAACAATATAAATATTAATATGTTATGTATTATACACATATTATATACATACTATTATGTATTATATAAGTAAGTATATATATATGTAATAATATATATATATATATATCGCTGCTGTCGGAAGAAAACCTTGTATCTCCAAAATGATAACTTTACTGGAGAAGGAAAAACTACTTCACTTTTAATGTTACTCAATGGAGCCAGACATTTTTCCAACTAATTTCTTTTGGTCCTTACTCACGCATAATGAAAAGAGCAAAAGATATTTTCGAATTATTTCCAAAAAACTGAAAAATGCCTAAAATGGAGATACGAGGTCCAAAAATGAAATGGTTTTGCTCTTGGATTAAAAAAAAAACGATCTCACTTATATTTCATTTAATACAGTCTGGAGTGTTTTGTTGGTCCTGACGTTGTAGGTTAATCCAGTTCTTTCTTACAAACTCAAGGCCTTTTTATCCTCAAAATATATGAAAACTCACACACACAGGTCCTGATTAAGGAGTGTGTGTGCAGTATGAATGGTAGGGAGGTTTTGCGGTGTGCTCTTCACAGCCCGGTGGGTTCAGTCCTGCGCTGCTCCTCATTAAAGCACTCCCCTAGCAAAACAAAAGCCCCATCAATTAACTCTAATTGCTTGCTCACCGCAAGCACAGAAAGCACTTATGGCTCATTCATTTGCGGTCAGATTCACGAACCTGTCTGCGTGTGTAGGTGGGTGTTTTGCTTGTTTTAATGGCTTCTTGGGAACATTTTAAATAATAAAGTCATATACATGACACTGGGTGTTACAGTAACCCACTTATGCTGGGAAGATATCCTTCAGAAGTGCTAATCAGAACTGCTGTTATCTAATTTGTACACATTATGCATATGGTACTTTATTGTTGAAGCACTACAATGTCCACAACTGCTGCAATAAAACTTGCACTTTTTCACACTTTTCCATTTTTATTTGGTAATTTTGCATTTTGTTCATTTGCATTATACTGTATGTCTGCATTTCTTCCTCTCCTTATCAGCGGTGCTAAGAAAGAGTTTTCATTATACAGTGGAACTCACTGCCCGTAGTATAGTGAACAATTTGAACTTAAGTGCTCTGATGGCTTCTTAAAGTTGAGCAGAGGACCATTCAATAATAAGTAAGTTAAATGGTGTGTGCATTCCATGGATTTAAAAAAAAATCAACATAACTTAGTCATTAATATGTAAGCAATCATTCAGAGTGGTTTGATCAGGCATCTAAAGCTATGACCTAGCTCCTATGACCTAGATAAATAAAAATTGGCAAAAATGGAGATATATGTTTTTTTCCCCAGCAATATGCTACCTGATACCTGAGACGTTGTTTTATAATTGTTTTTGAAATAAGGTTTTTGTCTAAACAGTGTTTTTAAATACATAACCCCAAAGAAAACCTTTTTTTCACTATTTTTAAATAATCAACATATCGCTGCTGTCGGAAGAAAACTGTGCATCTCTATTTTTGTCATGTTTCAGTTTTTGACATAATTTAAAAATGCCTGCTGACCTTTATATTGTGTGTAAATTTCATGAAGAATGGACCAAAAGAAACGGCGCAAAATGAAGTTTCATTGACTTACATTAAAAGTAAAGTAGGTTTTTTCCTTCTCCTGTAAAGTTATCATTTTGGAGATTTTTGTTCTGACAACAGCGATATACAAACTCAGAAGACAGGTGTAGGTTCACTGTTAGTTTGTATAGTAAATAAAATGGCTATATTTGTGTTGTAGATGTTGCCCTTTGTTCCTATCACCACCACTGTAAAGAAATCTGAGTTTCTTTACAACGCACCATTTCATATTAAACCACTCAGAATAACTCTGTTTACATCTCAATGACTGAATTTAAAAAAATGAGTGAAAGTTCAGTTAAAAAGCAGTCAAAGCAGCCTACTATACTTCAGCGGTGTTGTTTAAGAGAAAGTGAGATTGGATGCTGGAAGATAAACGCCTGTGACATCAGACATCACAGCTGCAATACTTCACCAAAAAAATGCTGATAGAGGGTCACAGGCACCCTTCCAGCGTCACAAATAGATGGTCTCATTTGGAATCGTTTCACAGGGAGAGCGCAGGCTCTATCACTCTGTCTATAGGCCTGAAATGTGTCAGTTGGCAGGACAGATTCATAGAGGAAAAAAATGTATTGCTAACATCAATACATTACAGTGTTAATACAGCACTGTGGTATACCACTGGTATCTTATTAGGAATGCCCAGTTTGTACCTACACTCTTCAGTCATTTCATTAGGTAATTACTACTGCAGTTACTGACTGTAGCCCATCTGTAGTAATGCTGCTAAAGTTGGTGTCAGGACTGTGCTAAGGACAACCCACCAGTGAAATAATATCTGGTCAGCGGTGGTCCTACGCTGGTCCCCTGATCCTGATTTAAAGGGTAGGGGGTGGCTGATAAATCATGCAGAAACTACGGATGAGGGAGTTGGGAGTGTAGAAATTCTAAGCAGAATATACACGATGCACACAGTGATGTACTCTTTTAAAATGGAACTGGGAACACTTTACATTAAGGATCAAAAATTAATTGATAATAATAAGCTAATAAGTAATTACATACTCATTATTTATATATGAATTAACTGCTCATTAAGCATTGGTTACTGATTAAGTACTTAGTGATTAGTAATGGAGAACACTGTTAACTGAAAGTTCAGTTTGTCATTAATTTACAGCTTATTTACTCTTTAACTCTGTACTAAATGCTGCTTAGTGAACTGATAAGTGTGTTTACTCATATAAATAAGTAAAATTAGCCTACTTATTTATTATTACATTTTCCTCTCCTGTGCAGTGTCATAGGGGACATAGTCATTGGGCTTGACTGAACACTGTTCTTCACCTCCACATATTCAGCTGCTTCACTGTTGTCAGAGCTGTCTTTCACCATTAATTACCTCTTTACATCATATTGACCATTAATTACTACTTTTATGTATCCGTTCAAGTAAAGTGATCTACTGTACTAGAGCAGCTTATACAGGGCATTATATCACTGTGAATCACAGAGGACACGCAGGTTAGGCCTAAACACAAGCTGCTTATTCAAAGACGTATGTAGACAGTTCCCTTTAAAAGCATAGGAATGAAATATGTACATAGTGACAATATCTGTCATACTATTATCTTAATATCTTATTTTATATCTTGGCATATTTTAGGGTGCCAAGAGGGTTCTTTTTGAAAAGGTACCATGGATCCCTAAAGAACCTGTCATTGGATGAGATGTTTAAATACGAATGATTGTTCAGTTTATTGTGTAGAATAATTTGGAATAAACAATAATTAATTATGTATGTATATTTTCTCTATCATTAAGGGGACACAAAACAAGTAGAGACAAATTAGGATATGAGTAACTACTCAAGTCTTAATCAAGAGTTTATACCATAATTAGATAAAAATGCTCACCTTAATAACAATAAATCAGTAGATTAATTAACAGATAATCAACGTGATTAACAAATAAGGACTTGGTAGTTCTCATGTTACTTATTTATATGAGTAAACATACTTATCAGTTCACTAGCAGTGTAATAAGCCACCATTAGTACACAGTTAATGAGTAAATAAGCTGTGAATTAATGACAATTACTAATCCTTAATCAGTAACCACTGCTTAATGAGCAGTTAATTAATATAGAAATAATGAGTAATTGATTATTAGCACATAATTATAAATTAATTTGTGACCCTTAACGTAAAGTGTTTTTGACACCCTGCTCACTCTCCTCATTCTTCTGTGTGAACTTTATGCAAATCAGTTGAGCGGTGGCCAACCAGATTGCTGATATCTGGTGTGTCACACCCATAGCCAAGCTACACCCTGAAGATTCAATACTTGGACGCACTCTGAATTGGAGATTTAATGATTGGAAAAAAACAAATGCATCCAAAATCTAGGCTGTTATAACATTAGCTGAATTTTGTAGGCTTCAAAAACAAACTAAGCCACTTGGAGTCACAGAACTAGCTTACAACTTGCTGGTTCACTGTAATGTTATGCAGCATTTACTCATATCAGTGCATGGCTAGTGAAAGTTTTAAAAATATATAAACATGACAAAAATATAAATATATAAATAAATAAAAATACAAACTTCACCCCACAACAAACACATACGACTTTATTATACGCAGAATAACTTTTAGCAGTTGCAAATTTGGGGGTGCTGCAGCCCCCTCGGACCCCCAACCTCCACCTGCGAAGTTTGGGCATGTTTCTACATGTCCTTTATTTAACTAAGATTTACAAACCTCATGCATCATAGTCATCTCCACCTCCCATCCATCCATCCATCCACCCTGCTGACTATCTACCTCCTCTCACCTTCCCTTCAGTCTCTGCCTGAAACCGTGGATCAGAAAGTCAGCTCGGGTCCTCCACCTGCCCACAATCCCCTGCTGAGCTCCAGTGAAGCAGAGAGCTAGAAGCCCTCCCTCCAAACTCTCTTTTTGTCAGGAAGCCTTATCGGCAGTGACAGAGCTGCGTGCTCTGCTTATGGTACAGGGGCCACAGAGCTGTGAGCACCGTGCCAATATGAGGGCTCTGTGTGAGTCCCAGAGGGAGCGGATCACCAGCAGAGCCGAGCTGGTCTGTGCTCCGCCAAGCCTGATGTTCACTGCTGCTAATGCTGTTTAGACTGGCAGCTTCTGCAGTAGCCTGACTTCATGCAGATACTGAAGAGTGGAGGGGTTACATGCATATAAACATACTCACCAACATTTGGAGGGAACAAAAGTTTTTTATGCATATAAAACACCCACACTTATAGAAGGACCTCAACAGAGCGTTGCATTTTGAGTCTCCTCAAACTGATGTCTGATTAATGTATGTTTCATTCATGAAACAAACACCTGGATATTCAAGTCAGTCACTGCAATAAAGCACACAAGGGAGTCATGCTATTTCTATAGGAGAATGAGTGCAAGTAAGAATGTATAGGTATGAATAAACACACATACACACACATAGTACTGTGCAAAAAATCAGAGACTACCATTCATTTATTTCATTTTTAGTCAAAACAGCAAATTTATTCACTTTTCAGCTTTAGGAAAAAAGCAGAAAAATATATTTAACCCACCAAAGTCTGGGCTCTGAGCTAACTTTCTACAGGGGCACAGTGTAGAGCATCCTGACCAGCTGTCTCACTGTCTGATATGGGAACTGGACCACCTTAGACCTCAGGACCCTACAGAAAATTGTAAAGGCAGCTGAGAAGATCATTGGAGTGTCCATACCCACCATCAACACCTCCTTCCACAAATGCTGCATCCACAAGTCCACTAGCACTGTGGATAACCCCACCCAGCACTCTTATGGCCTCTTCACCCTCCTGGCATCTGACAAGAAGTACCACAGCCATTTCACCATCACCATACTCTATGCACTGATGCCTCCCCAGCAACTACTGGGCCTAATCTAGACAATCCACTGTAGACTGACCACGCACCCTTTTGCCATTTCTGCACACCTGCACTTGAAATTCTTTAAATGCTGATGTGAGACACTTTTACCCCAATGTTCTACACAGTTTACCGCTAACATGTTTGCACTCCTCCTTTAATATGCTACTTTGATACCCATCTATATATACACTATATAGACAAAAGTACTGGGACACCCCACCTAATTACTGAGTTCAGGTGTTTCAGTTACACCAACTGCTAACTGGTGGATAAAATTAAGCACACAGCCGTGCAGTCTTGATAGACAAACACTGGCAGTACAATGGGTCATACTGATGAGCTCAGGGACTTTAAACATGGCACTGTCATAGGATACCACCTCTGCTGTAAGTCAGTTTGTGAAATTTCTGTCATGCTAGATCTGCACCAGTCAACTGTAAGTGCTATTATTGTAAAATGAAAGCATGTAGGAGCAAAAACAGCTCAGTCACAAAGCAGTAGACCACGCTAACTCACAGAGTGGGACCACCGAGTGCTGAAGCACATCCTCTGTTAAATCACTCACCAACGAGTTTCAATTTGCCTCTGGAAGCATCATCAGCAGAAGACTTGTGCATCATGAGCTTAACAAATTGAGTTTCCATCACTGAGCAGCTACATACAAGCCTAAGATTAAGATAAGCCTAAGGGTTGGGGGGGTTGGGGCAGGGGTGTAAAGCATGCCACCACTGGACTCTGGAGCAGTGGAAATGTATTCTGCTCAGGGACGAATCACGCTTCTCTATCTGGCAGTCTGATGGATGAGTCTGAGTTTGGCCAGGAGAACGTTACCTGCCTGACTGCACTGTGCCAACTGTAAGGTTTGGTGGAGGAGGGATGATGCTATGAGGTTGTTTTGCAGGGGTTGGCCTAGACCCCTTAGTTCCAGTGAAAGGAAATCTTAATGCTTCAGCAGACCAAGACATTTTGGACAATTGTACGCTTCCAACCAAGAGGCCTGAGAGCAACATTTGGTTCCTATCCTATTTTGTTGTCATATTGAACACAGACAACGAAGACCACATGACCTTAGTTAAAAGTGGTCAATCCTTTATTCTGAAAATACCCCAGTTTGTTTGATTTGTAAATTGTCTTCTTTTTTGTCTATTTGCTTTTCTTAGTAAGGGCTTCTTGACAACCTTTCAGACCCACAGCGTAGAGTTTTTTCTCACAGTGGAAGGATGGACAGAAACACCTGTGGATTTTTTCAGATCTGAAGCAAGTAGAGCTTGATTTTCTCCTCTCTCAAAGATGAAAGCTTCAAGCACTGTTATTTGATGGGGACAGTTGGTGGTCTACCAGGTCTTACATGTTTGCTTAGAGTCCCTTATTCTCTATATCTGTTAAAGGAATGTACTGCTGTGTAATGGGTTAAAGTACTGTGTTATATGCTAATATATTCAGTGCTGTGTACTGTATCATGCATGTGAAGTGACTTTACCTAGAACATTCTGTTCTGCCTATTTTTCTCTATCCCTACATGATCATGTCTGTTACACCTGTCACTCGTCATGTACGGACTGGGCCTAATCTTGGCATCAGTGCAGCCTATATAATTGTGACCGTCCATTGTTTAATTGGCTGGTTAAATGTCTGGGTACCTGCTTGCAAGAAATGAAAAAAAAAAAATCAATTCCACAGACATAACACTGCTGCCTGGTTTGGCAGGTTTGGATTCTTCAGTTATGGAAACTTCTGTTTTTCCACTTAAATTCGTTTGACTTTCCCCTTCCTTATGTAAATGAATTAACTTATATCTAATCTCCTCAGAAACACCTCCTGGAAAATGGATAATGTGTACTTACTGGCTGTTTTGACTGCATTTTAAATAAATGAAGGATGGGCTCTGACTTTTACACAGTACTGTATGTGTAGATTGTGTGTTTACATCTGTAAAAGAGATTAAGAAGCGGAATCAACCTAGAGCCACAGCACAATCACTCAATATGTGTGTGAGGAAAGAGAAAAGGAAAAAGAAAGAAAGCAAGAAAGCAAGAAAGAAAGAAAGAAAGAAATAAAGAAAGGCGTCAGGAACAGACCACCGCAAACAAACAATATCAGATGTGTAAAACGGGTGTTTAACTGCCCTACCTCCATCATATCAATCAACCACAGCAGTCTCTCCTGATTGGATGAAGAAGGAAATAGTGGGTGTTAAAACAGTGTCTGAAATCTATGCCCGGGGTGTGCAGGCTATAAAACTCAGCAGGAAAGCACTTATCCATCTGTTATACACACACAGCGTGCACCCAAAAGATTAACAAGCTGTATTCTGAATCGCTCTTTTCCTACCGCGAGAGCTTGACCAGCTGACAGGAGCATAAACTGCGGCTCACTGAGAGAGACAGACTGAATCATAACAGTAAAGAGGCCAAACTGAAGCAGGACAGCTATTTTCCCAAAACCCTTCACTCACCCACGTAGCAGTCAGCCTGGGCCCTATCACTCAGAGGTACCCTCTGGACATCCATCACCCTACCCCACTACACCCACACAGCAGTACACTATTACACACACACCATGCTCACTCTGTGGTCTACGGATAGGCATCTTAACCATTTTCCACATTTTAAAAGCATCACAGTGAGTAAAGTAGTGCTGTAAATAAAAAAGAAAAATTATGTTTATTGCATGCAGCCAGCATAAATAGCGATTCATCTTTTTTATGTCGTTTTTCTTTGAAATATTTGCAAATTCAGCTCTGCTTAGATGTTACCATTTTGCGGAACATGAAGGTTTTACATGCTGAGTCAGTACTTAATTTACTTGATTTTGTTATTCTAAACTATATATACAGATTATATTAACAAAATTGGACATCTGTACATTCAAAGAACCACACCCATCCTGACATGTACAACCAAGATACTAACCAAGCACATCATTGCTCTCCAAAGAAAAACAGGTATTTCCAAAATAGTAACTTTACAGGAGAAGGCAAAAACTCTCTTAACTTTTAATGTAAGTTAATGTAAAGATATTGTATTCCATATTCCATTTTGGAGCATTTCTATTGGTCCATAATCAATAAAAATGGAGATACACGGTTTTCTTTGTACAGTGATGATATCATTTAACCCTTTTAAACACTATAGTGATATTATTTCATGTGCTGTAGTTTAGTTTTCTGTTTTGCATACTGTTGCTGCCAAAAAAAGTATCTTTTTTATTTATTTTCTACATAATTTGTGCTTAACATTGTATCAAAATTTAATGAGGAATGGGCCAATGGAAATGTTCCAAAATTGCTTGGCGTAGAATTTCCTTACATTAACTTAAACTTAAACATTAACTTAAAAGTAAAGAATGTTTTTTGCCTTCTCCTGTAAAGCTGCCAATTTGAAGACTTTTTTTTTAACATCAACAACATGTTACTTTCTGTAAAACACTAGTTTTAATACTTAAATAATATCAAGCCATACCATCTTGTTATAGCCCCATTAAACCTGTGTTTTCTACGTTGGCCCTATCATCAGGAGATCACAAGCTCGATCCCTGGAGATGCTACAGCCGTCCGTGGCCAGGAGTCCAAGAGAGCACAATTGATCTCGCTCTCTGGGTGGGTAGGATGGCCCCCCTTTCTCCCCATCACTCAGCATGATGCTAGTCAGCGCAGGCGTCTGTTAGATGACGTAGTTTGAAAAGATGAGGTGGTGCTTGACAGGCCTCGGAGCAAACCTGTGCTAGCCTTCTCCCTCCTAGCGCTGGTGGTATTCTGTGACTGGGGGAGTCCTAACTTGGGGTGGAATTGGAAACGACTAAATTGGGGAGAAAATTGGGGAAAAATAAAAAAAAAAAAATCTGTGTTTTCTAGCTACATGCCCAGTGTGTTGGCATTTCTGGTTGGGGGGGTGGGGAACATGATTCAACAAGGCTGAAAATTTGTAGATATTTATGTAGTTTGTTTCAAGCTAACTAAGCACATGCATGAACAGGAATATAAGTCACACACCGGTTTTACTTGATAAACCCAATCAGTAATAAGCACTTCACTGTGGACAATGTGGATGTGCATGTGCTGTAACTCCTCTGGCAGTAGTTTTAAATGAGTTTAGGGGGCCTTGGCAAATTCTCACAATGAATCACCAGCGAGACGCTCAGTTCAACTGGGTTAAACTGAAAATAGGAGGGAAAACAATTTAAAAAACTTTCTCATTTCATATTTAAAAACACTCATGCACTTACCCGTGCAGAGCTGAGCGTAGTGTTGGTCATGTAGCTGGCTGAGGAGGCCAGTGTGTCAGGGTAGGAGACCATGGAGAAGGAGTCTGGGTGAAGTGCTGCCGCTCCTGCTGCTCCCTGCCGAGCCTTCAGCGCCTCAATCTCCCTCCTCAGCACCAGTGCATCAAACCGCTCCAAATCCTGTGGACTCACCAGCCCCCGCACCTCTGACAGCAATGAGAACTGCAGCCAACACACACACACACACACACACACACACACACATACACACACACACGCACACATACACACACACAGCAGTGAGGCTCTGCTTGCACTGGCACGATGAAGCAAAGTTTTAATACCAGATGCTCTAATGCCATCTATAAATCTGAGTCTGATATGGGGTGTACCTGGCTGTGAGTCAACACAGAGACTGTTTGCATATGCTGAGATGAAAATGAAGTCTGAAAAGCTCTATTATAAATCTTGCTCGGTCAGGCAATCAAATCGATGGGAAAGGGGTGGATAGAAGGTGGAAGACAGTACAAGAGAGTACACAGAGGTGGTGATTCCATGTTGCAGTCATTTCAAATTTCATAACATCATATTTTTCAGGTGCCCCTTATACTGTGTGGACAATTTATGATCACTGGGCCACTAGAAATGGTCAAAAATACATACATTTATCTAAACTGCTTATCCTTCTGGGTCATGGGCGGAGCTGGAGCCTATCCCAGCAGTCATTGGGCGAAAGGCACAAAACACCCTGGACAGGTCGCCAGTCCATCGCAGGGCAGACACACAGACATATACATTTACAGACACCTAAGGGCAATATAGCATGCCTGTGGGAGGAAACTGGAGCACCCGGAGGAAACCCACACAGACACCGGGAGAACATGCAGACTCCACACAGGTCACCCAGCTGTGAGGCGACAGTGCTACCCACAGCACCACCGTGCCGCCCTGGTCAAAAATATTTTTGATATTTTACATCAACATAAATTACAGTTGTTAGAGTTGCTTGTCTTATAAAGTTAAAATTTTAGAGATAAAAGGTTTTGTTATGACTAGTAGTGGTCCCAGGATTGTTGCACTGGGTGGACAAATTTACTGGCAGCCTGAATTTGAATTTGACTCCTGTGGGCAGGGAGAAAAGCTGCAAAAAAAGGATAGTGGGTTCAAGCGAATAAAGGGGTGGGAGGGGGCTAAAATATGGATGGAGTTAAAATATCGGTAGTGGATATCTTTAGTGATATCTCATTACATTAATGCAAAAGTGGACGGAAAGGGGAAGATCTACAAGAAGCCTGTTTTTTTTTAATCAAGGGGATGGCATCCCCATGCATCTCTCCTCAAATTGAGTACGGAGCTTGAAATATTCGTCCGAAATCTACAGGACCCGTCTGCTCATATCAGGTTTGGACATCATTTCTTAAAAACATACGAACAAAGGGCTCAGGCCAGACTCAAATTTCATGTTCGTGTTCTCACATCCTGCCTTCTACTTCTAACAGATTTTACCTGCATTTCACTACTTTAATTTAACTCTTAACTTTATTTTTCACTAATTTTACTAGGTTAGATATTTTTTGAGTCACCCCCTCACCCACTCAGCATTGCAGGTCATTAGGCCCGCACTCATAAGAAAGTGGGTAATATATAGTGAAGCGATTCAAGAAAGTACATTTTAGTGCAGCCAAAAAAATGTTTGAGTCATTTGGCTAAATTTTATTTTATGTTACATGTTATATATGTCCTAGGTAACATGTTCTATGTGCACAATTTGAGTTTCAGTAACAGGTGAAGTTAACATCTCGCTGTATCAGTACTGCACAGCATGAGAACAGCACAGTAAAGAAAGTTTATCCAAACTAAAAAAAGCACTGAGATGCTATTCAAAACACTATTTAATGAATAAATTTGTTCAAGCAGAATTCAAGCATACTATTTTATATTACTGTTTATTATATTTTTCCACACTGATGGCTATTTATCCACACTGACAGCTTTTATTGTCACTACAGAGTAACTGCGCTATCAGGTATTATACTTCATATTTGTGAAAAATCTCAAAGTGCTTTACAGATAAGCAAGAAAGCTTAACAGTAATAGAAGAAAATATGAGTATCAGGCTCAGATAGAAAATTCTCCGGCTGTTTTTGGGTTCGGACCAAAATTTCAGGTCCAATAAAAGCTCTACTCAAGCTAAACAGTGCAACCATCTCAGTTATGGCTAACTGCATGTGACCCCAGACAGCTAATCAGCAAAATCACACAAAACTCAGAGCTCATAACACAAAATGAAACTTTTGGCTTTGTACATCTTGCTTTGCTCACAGGAGCAATAATGACCAGCATAACCTTAATATGCTGGTGATTTCTCCCATTTACACCTTCTGTGTTAATGAGCTGGCTGATGATTGTGCCATGTTCAGATTTGGATACTTACTGTTTATCAAATGTTTTGTGATGCTTAAAACAAGACGTGTTCATATGCTTCCAATCCTCAAATCCACATAATGGTCCTGCATTCATCTCCAAAACGCTGACAGCATCACTGCTAATGCTCATAATCATAAACTAAAAGTGTCTAGATTTAGCACTGAAACTGTGGCTGGGTTTTTACGAGAGTGCTGGCGACTCGGGGGAGAGCGGTGCTTAGCAAACATCTCACAGTTATGGTTACTGATTAAACTGAAATTTCAACTGGTGTCAAAAATGGAATTTCATATATGTCATATATTTAGCGAGTGTGTTTTTATTTGTTTCAGTTTATTTATTTATTGGCGAGATTTTAATACTGAAAGTGAACTTGAGCAGTCATTTTGGGTGGGCTGATGATGAAAAAGGACATGCATAGGCCCACTGGGCCCAATCAAATCATCGCCACTGGCAACAATTAGTCACTGACACAAAGACTATCAGTATCAAAACTCACAGACACACAGACACAAACCTTGGCGTGTGTATTTAGCAGCTCAAACAGAGCCATGACCAGCTGTTCAACTCCAATGTGTCCATCACGATACTCCTGGATGTAGTAGCTCATTGTCTGTCTCTCAGGCTCAGTGAGCAGGTGTCTGGCCTGTTCCTCCAGCATGGCCCTGCTCTGGTTCACCAGACTGGAGAGAGTCACCTGAGAACCTGCTACTCCTTTATAAAAACCCGCCTGCAGATGGAGAGAGAGAGATAAAGGAGCTGAAAGAAAACTGGTGGAAGAGAAGGGAGATCATCACATGTAGAGGCTGTCAAAGCTCCAATTAAACAGGATACACATCTGTCCAGACCAAACAATGAGACCTAAATGGCAGATCTGAATGTTATAGTCTCTTTAAAAAAGAAACCATTACCAGAATGTGTACTATTTAGAAAGAGATACCAGCTAAAATCTATAGATGGCTAGCAGAAAGACTCAAAAGTGGTCATTGCAGGGTCCTCCAACAAGATCAAATAGTTGTTAATGGTAAACAAAACTTATAGCAGTGAACTTATATAAATGACAGGACTTTAAATATTTCTAAAATATGTGAGAAATGGATCAAATACAATGGAGAGTAAAGGCAGAGGTATAACTTTCAACTGTAACCAAGCATGCAACCCAGCAACACTGTCCTAAAACGAACATTATCCCATATTTCTGACATATAAAGTCACAAAATGTGAATCAAATGTTCTCATGAATCTTTATTGCACTCTTTTCCTTCACTTGTAACAAGACAAATCATAAAAGTAAAGTAAAAAAAACAGAAAGAAACCTGTTTCATCAGAATCACCTATCAGCTCACTCCCAGCTTTCAGAGAGTATATTTGTGATTTACAAGCACTTCACTGAAATGTCACTCAGACTTAAACTGGGAAGAAACTGGTAGATTATATTTCACCAAAACGCACATATCATCTCCCCTGCCCCGCTCTCTTTCTCCTCCTCTCCTCCGTCATTCTCTCACTGTGGCCTGTCTCCTTGGGAGCAGCTTTTTTTGTAGCTCTTTAATCAAACCCAGCACTTTAAAGTTGCTAGCCACAGGGCTAGAACGGAAAAGCATCTGTATAACAATGTGGCTCAGACTTATCAAAGCTTTTTTAGTGTTACAGATTTTACATGTGCCGTTCCAGTGATATGACCAATAGATGATATATTTCTAAGTGGAGATGGAAGTGGATATCTTAGTATTTGTTTAATTCATCATATATCCAAATATGTGTGCATGTGCAGTTTGGCATAAAAAGAAATCAGGTATTATCTTGTCATTTTTAAAGAGACTGAGCAGCTGACATAGAACCGCACAGAAACTCAAAACACAGGCAGCTGATCTCATATTAAAGGAACAGTTTGGCAAATAACAAACGTACAGTGTTCCACTGACATCAGATGTAGTCAATCAGCCAGACATGTTTGGTGTCCAAATTTGCCTCTTTAGTTTTGAACTAGAGCTACAAGGCTAACATAGCTAACAAACACTAGAAGTCAATAGTCACCCAAAACATTTCTGTAAATACATCCCCAAAGCTTCTCCCCATATGATTAAACTGTATCCAGGTCTTCCAGGACTTAATGTGATTTAGTGCACAGTATGACTAACGGTGAACAAATGAACAAAACTTCACTGTATAGCGAAATATTAGAAGTAGCCATTTAAACAACAGTTGCTGTGGTGAATTACAACTCTCTCCGTAATGTGCACACACATCACACAGGCGTTTGGGTGCTACAGAGTAGCTGCTGTTTCTATTAATACATAACTGTTAATCTTGGGCTGTGAATATTGTGTTTTTGCTGTGAAAACTCTTAAAACTACACTAGTTTTCTATGAAAAATGATTACATTGTGTCTCTTGCTAAAAGTTGTTGTGTGCTGTTATGCCTCTTATGCACACAATGAGGACTCACAACAGAGTCTAAATGGCTGCCTCTAGCATTCAGCTACATGGAGCTACGTGTTGCTTATTTGTATGGTCCATAGTAAGTCATACTGTGCCCTAAACCACATCAACACATTTACATGAAGAACTGGATGTGGTTTGTGCAAGTTGAGAGAAATTTTTGGGACGCATTTACGGGAAACTTTTGGGTGACTATCGACTTGTCGTGCTTGTTAGCTTCTTTAGCCTCAAAGCTTCAGTTTAAAACTAAAGAAGAAAAAATTGGACACCAAACATGTCTTGGCTGATCGACTGCATATGGCATAAGTGGAAAATTGTGTATATTTTTGCTAAAGTCTAATTTGTGCACATTTGTGAAATTACTTTATTTACTAAATAAATCAAACCAAAGTCAACTGATCAATCAGGACCAGATCATCTTTTATGAGGCTTTTATGCTAGCTGCATGCAATAAAAATGCTAAACTTGTTTTTCTTTTATTTATTCGTAACAATTTTCTCATAGGGGTATCTCAATACTGTTGCTTTAAAATTGCAGATATTTGAACAGCAAAAATGGTTAAAATGCACATCCCTATTTTTAAGAGCGTCAATACTGCAAGTTCTCTTACTATTTTTAGCATGAACTGTTTGGGTCTGTGTAGCTTAGCACAGTGGAACAAAGTCTGTAACTCAAAGCTCCTGCAGGGCATCTCCAGTTCTTCTCTGCTCTTGATAACAGAAAGGCTTTGGAGATGTGCCTGTATCTCTGGCCTCTATCTCTGTCTGTCTCTCTGTGTCTTTGTCTCTCTCTCTCTCTCACTCTCTCTCGACTGTAACAGTGCTCTAATCGAATGGACAATTGGCTCCTATTTTCGGTCAAGCTCTGTGTTTTTGGCCTTTCTTTGTACAGGTGCATTCAGGCAAAAAGATCACCTGCTTTATCAAACAGACAAAAGACACAGAGACCCCTGATCTGAGCTCGATCAATACAGAGACGGACAGCAGCAGGATTGTGTGTGTGCTGCGCTTCTCTGTATTGGCTGAACAATCTTGGCCCTGGTACTCGGTCCCTGTAGGCCTTGAGCATTAGAGGCTCTGTACATGCGGCATGAAAAGTAAACAAGTTAATGATCACTGGACGTTCCAGTTGCATGACTATGTGGCAGCCAAAAACCATATTAATAGCTAATTTAGATGTTTGTGAGCGTACACGTATGTGCTTGTGCTCCTGGAATAAAAAGAATGCATTATCTCTGAGAGAATAGCAAAATGACTCAAGGCTATGAGACAGAGGGAGAGAGAGAGACAGAGGCCACAAAGGTGAGTGAACAGGGGAAAAGAGGAAAAGTGAGTGACAATGCAGTGAGACAGGAGACAGGTGTTGAGATGGCACTATCAATCCCCCCTCATGGCTGGCTATAAACCGGACATGACCTTGCGTACTGCCCCTGAGAGGTAACTTCTGGGACAAAAGAACAGACACAGCAGAGCACTGGAGCCTCAGCCTCAAATGCTCCGTCCACAGAGGTACATGGACTGTCTGATGTATTGATGCCTTCAAATCCTGTCAGAACTAATTCTATCTCCATCCAACATGAACAAGGACACTTATGTCTTATCAACATATGAAACATAGACATGCTTTGAATCCTCCAGGGTTTAATCATTTATGAACATGGGGTACAAAGAGATATTTAAATGAAATTAGAATAAGTAAATAAATAAATAAAGTGTAATTAGAATAAGAAGCCAACTCCAATTTTGTCAAATTTCTGACTTGTTCCTCTGACCGTCAGATGCTGCTGAAATTTGGAAAATATTACAGTCATTCATGCTTCAGTACCAGCTGGGCCACCACAAGGCCACGACTACGGGATTGTCTGATGGACCTTTCTGAGTCAGGCAGTCTCAGGTGGTATGAGAGGAAACGGAATCACAACTGTTGATTTGGAGTCTAGGTATTAAAATAAAGCTCTGCTGATCGTTCTAACACAGTTTTAACAATAAATGGTCTTAAACACTGGAGGTAATGTATAACTGCTAATTCACTCTTTAACCCTGAAGCTTGGCATGCAGACTGCTGTTCACAGCAACGCAGACAACAGTCTCGCCTGGCTAGTAGCTAATGAAAAGACAAAGAGAAAGATTTAAGATGAACACTGATAATTTGGAGACGAATGGACTTCCAATCCAGCTGGTTGCCAGATACGTTTAATCTGCAATGAGAAACTGTCAAACACTAAAAAATCATGAGGCTGAAGTCAAATGAAGTTCAAATTTTCTCGTTCCACCCTTTCTGGCGCAGCAGTTACAATCTGGCGCCTCAGGCACCTTTTAAGGTGGAACGGAAAAATTCAAACAAAAAGCTGGCAAATGAGAAGCTGACTTCAGCCTCGTAAAAAATCGATTGTTAAGACATTTTGCAATAAACTATTCTACTTTTGCAGAAAAGTTTCCTGTCAGAGATACGAGAAAAGCGTCAAGAGCCGAGCTAAAGCTTAAAGCAGAGCAACGCAAGTCTGCATTTTCATTTATATTAAATTTGTTAGCCTATACTAGTACATTAGCACATACCGAGACATAATTACAGCCAAGATGGTAAAATGGACATAAAATGTTGTGGCTCCCAGGGTGGTTTGATTTTTGGCTGAATGGACAAACTAGCTCTTCTTAACATTTGGGCTGCCGACCCCGCCCCAAAAGAATGGCCATTCCTTTATGTTCGCTGCTTTGAAAGCAAAGTGGACGACTTCAGATGTGATGCACTAGGCATTTGGAGGTCACTGAAGGTCTGCTGCATTTTCATTTTCATTTGACATCCATGACATGAATAAGACATGTCATGGATGTCCATGGATGGAATAAGACAAGATTGAAAAAAGATAGCATCCCATCTTTAAAAGTAATTTAATTATTTATGATGAAGCATTTAGAAGCAAGAAAACAAGGCATCCTTGAGTGTTTGCAAACATCATCTGTTCATCTGTTTTTGCTGTAACATCATTTTAACAACCAACTGCCCCTGCTGGTCATGTTATTATATGTCCATAGCTGGTCATCGTATATATCAATCAAATGGCCAATTTCTGCCAAAGTTGGTTGTTCTTGGCCATACTGAGCGATGAAAGTACCTGAATCTCTTGTGACAGCCAGACGTCTGACTTGCAAGACGGTGTGTTCACAAAACAGTGAGTCATTCCTGAGGAAAGTACATAACTGGACAGGCTCAAAATGTAAACAGGTCACTCAAACAGCTTAATCCAGCACATAGCCTGGGCTGAATGCAATACATTTTTTTTAGCTGTCTA